TTGAAAAGGGAAAGGGGGGGGGGGGGGAGCGGGAGCATTCCACTACCTGTGATCTCCATGGGTTTCTCGTTGTTCAAGCTGTCGTTGCTGCCGGCTTCAGGGATCTGGGCACCGAAAGCAGCCTTCAGGAGGAGGTCGGTGAGGCGGCCAGTACTGAGAGATCTGAAGAAAGGGGAGTCGTTACCGGCTAAAGATCAGGAGAAACTTCCTAACTGTAAGAGTGGTTGAGCAGTGGAACAGACTGCCTCGGGAGGCGGTGGATGCTCCTTCGCTGGACGTCTTCAAGCGGAGGCTGGACGACCATCTTTCGGGTATGTTGTAGGGCTCTCTTTCGGCTATGCTCCTGCAGAGTGCAGGGGGGTTGGACTAGATGACCTGCAAGGTCCCTTCCAACTCTAACATTCTATGAGTCTATGAGGACAAGGGAAGGGAGCGTATTTGAGAAGCACGGAGAGCATTCACTTCAACCCACAGAGGGCAGGCTGGGGCGGAAACCTCTATCTCCTTTGGCGTGGAATCTGCAGGCTGGGGGGACGCCGGCATCTCGATTGGAAGGGAGCAGTCTACGGCTGGCAGAATGATGGATGGAGCCCCCAAAGAGCTGACCTCTGGGGAAAGCTCATTTTTAAGCTACAGAGGGAGAGGGTCAAACTGCAGGGGACACTCGAGTTTTATGATATGATCTCCTGAGGCTGGGGGCAGCTGCAGGGGTAGGATTGGGGCCACGGCACTGGGGAAGGAAAGAAACTAACTTCTCCCCATGCCATTTTCCACGATCAAGTATCTCCCCTCCCCCCGGTCTGTTTTTAATACCGGTAGGGGGGAAAGACAGGTCCCCGCGATGTGCCTGTCTTTTTCTCCCTTACAATGCTTAAAGCTGACCAGGGGAGGATTTTTGAATAAGGAAAGAGCATGGGAGGATGAGTTAACCCTCCCTTTTCCTTGTCCCCAGCCCTGGGGCCCTGATCTATCACCACCTCCCTGCCACACATTATGTCTTTAGTGATCCTAAAAGTTGTCGTGGACTCTGCCATGTGCAAAATGACCAAGAATTTGCCCAGTGTCCAAGCCAGTAAGTTTCCAATGGCCAACCGGGAAGGGCGCCTTTCCAAGTGAGAAGGCAGGAGTCCTCCCAGCTTTCAGATATGGGCTGCTCGTTCAGTTTTGCTTCTGTCTTTCGCAGGTGCCCAGTCCGTACTTGCGAAGAGAAGAAGCAGTAGAACGTTCCAGGATGGGGAGAATCAAGAGAGGATAATCTGACCCACCTCTTCTTAGCAGGGATCACAAATCATAGTTAGTGTGTCCTTTTCTCCTTCCCATCCTGCATGCTATATTCACAAAGGTAAAGGTAAAGGTTCCCTTGCTCGAAAGCCAGTCGAGTCCGACTCTAGGGTTGCGGTGCTCATCTCCGTTTCAAAGCCGAAGAGCCAGCGCTGTCCGGAGACGTTTCCGTGGTCATGTGGCCGGCATGGCTAAACACCAAGGCGCACGGAACGCTGTTACCTTCCCACCGAAGTGGTACCTATTCATCTACTTGCAATTTCTTGCTTTCGAACTGCTAGGCTGGCAGGAGCTGGAACTAGAGATGGGAGCTCACTCTGTCATGTGGCACACACGGGTCTCGAACTGCTGACCTTCCACAGCCTGCAGTTCAGCGTCTTAACCACTTGAGCCACCGCAGCTCCTTGCAACTACTAAATAACATTGTCAGGGCTTTCAGTGTTTCCAACCACCGGTCTGTTTCAATAAAGGCAGAACCTCAACGAGGCAGGTGTGTATATTTCAGTCCTCAACCCAACCTGTCAGGAACATCATCTTGTATGCAAAGGCTGCGCCTCCTTTTAGATCAAGAAGGGAATAAATATGCGAGCCAAGGGTCTTTGATCCAGATCTTGGAAGCTGGAATGCTCGCGTTTTGTTGAGGTGCTCCAGCAAGGAAGCGAGCAGAGCCTTGCCACTGCTTGCGGCAAGCCAAGAACAGTGTGGCAAGTGGGGAGCCGGCGATCTGGGATGGAGGCCAGCAGTCCGGCGGCCGGCCAGCAGGCCCTGGAGTGAAGCAGCGGGGGGGGGGGAGCACTGAACTCCCAAAGCACACTGGACCTCCAGAGCAGGAGTCCTAAATGGTGCCTGTCACAACTGCCCCAGCACAAGGAGGCAGAAATAATTGCTTCCTATCAATTAATCTGTTGTTTTTTTAAAAAAATAACAGAGATGTGCATCTATGTTTGAGGGCTATGACTCAGTGGAAGAGCCTCTGATTTGCCTGCAAAAGGTCCCAGGTTCAATCCCTGGCATCTCCAGTTAAAAGGAGACCCTGCCAGCCTGTGTAGACATGTATTTTTTCACACCCTTTCTCCTAAACTGCTATTTCCCCTCTTTGATCCTCACAACAACCCTGTGAGGTAGATTAGGCTGACTCAGTGACTCAAGGTCACCCAGTGAGATTCATACCTCGGGCCTGGTGGGTTCAAGCCCACAAAGTTTTATTAATCTGACATGCTAAACACTGCACCACGGCAGTCCCAACACTGTCTCTCTCTCTCTCCGCCCCCTCTCCTCTCGCTTTTTTTGCTTCTCAAATCTTCTGCAAAGTTCTGAGCTGGAAGGAGGGGTGGTTGTGGCAACAGAATGGGAGGCTGCTCCCCCCCCCCCGGCTGCATCCCCTCCAGAACATGCTTTCCAAAATCCTTTAAGTTAAGACTTCGACTATCGAGAAAGGACACTTGATTACCAAAAAAGAGTTCTTGGGGAATTTTCATACATGAAGTTTGAATTGATTTGAGCCTCTTCCTGCTTGCACTATTCATGTACACCAGTGATGGTTAACAACATACAGCAGAAGGGGCACCTGAGATTGTAAGCTTCTCCGGCAGGCACCTGCCTTTTCACGCTCTGCAAAATTTTACACACATTGGAGGGCACTATGGAATCACTTCCCGGTTGAATCGGGCCACAGGAAGCCAGTCAGATGAACATCAGAAGAGCCCTGCTGGATCAGACCAGTGGCCCATCTAGTCCAGCATCTTGTCTCACACGGGGGCAAACCAGTTCCTCTGGACAGCCTACAACAGGGCATAGAGGCCGAGGCCGAGGCCTTCCCCTGAGGTTGCCTCCTGGCTCTGGGATTCAGAGGCTTAGTGGAGGTTCCCCTCGGTCACCATGGCTAGTAGCCATTGATAGACTTCTCTTCCATGAATCTATCTAATCTCCTTTTCAAACTGTTTATCCCTGGGGCCATCACTACATCCCCGGGCAGCGAATTCCACATTTTAATCACTCTCTGTGTAAAGCAGTCTTTCCTTTTGTCCATCCCGAACCTCCTGCCCATCAGCTTCACCGGATGCAGCCACCATTCCACACAAAAAACTGACGGAACGTGCCCAAAAGTGCATCTCAATACACATCGAACGACAAACCCCGCGTTGCAGCGGAAGCACACAGCCCAGCTCCCAACACGGGCAGGCGTTCCAAGCCTCCCTCCTGCACTGAAACGGCTGTGACAGCAGGGACCCTGCCAGGACTTTTAATCTGAGGACGTGACTCAGCAAGGCGACGAAAAACGCCCAGTCTGAAAACTCCTGCCAGGCAATTGCAGGCTGTCGAGTTTGACAAAAGGTGTCGCCTCGCGTGCCCTGGTTTTTAAGGCGAGCCAAGATGTTCTTCCAGGAACAGCCGGATTACCACCGTCAGGCTGGATCAGATCCGGGGCTGGGTCGGCTCTCCCACATCGGCCAACCACAGGATGTCATGAGAACCAGCCGCGCAAGGAAGAGGAAGCAAGCAGTTATGAAACCGCTCCACACTCACCCGTGGCCCCGACTCTGAGTGGCTCAGGTGCCTGGTTAAGGGAGACCCAGAGAATTCACACGGCAGCTCTCTCTGACAATCTGGGCTCTGGTCAATGCCCCTTCGAAGCTGTGGAGTCTTGTGAGCAAAAATTCCACTTTGTGAGCTACTGGCATTAAAGTTGTGAGCGAGCGATTTGGCTGCTGCGTGAATTAGTTTGCTCCGGAGCCCTCCTTCCTGAGCTAAGGCAAAAATCTGTGAGCCGGAGGCTAAAAAACGCTGAGCTAGCTCACACTAACTCAGCTTAGAGGGAACACTGGCTATGATGAACAAGGATCAGCACCGGGGTGAGGTGAACGATGCTGCCACTCAGAGCTTGGTGGGCCCTTGTGCTATGCGCAGAGGAGCAGCATAGTGCCATGAAGATGGTGTTGTGTTGGGGGGCAACCTTTTTGAGCCTGCAGGCCCCTCTGGAATCCTGACACAGCGTGGCGGGTGCGGCGGAAGGGATGCCCCAAAGCGGCTGCCACAGGAGGCGGGGTCAGCCACAGAACGGTGGCTGCATCTTATGTTCAGTGAAGATCCTCGTGCTGTGGTGGCAGTTGCTGCCCAAGCAATGATTCTGAAGCTCTGCACAGCCAATCAATCTCCAGTGGCCAATCAGAAGCCTTGCTGGGCAAAAGCCACAGCTGGCCCCACCCACTTTCTAAGAACACTCAGCAGGCACCAGGGTTAAGGACGGGAGAAGTGCCTATTCTCCAGCCAGCAGCGAAAATCACTTGGGGGGCGGGTCTCTGGGGCAGGTCACTAGGCCACTGTTTGGTGTTACCCAAGAGTCTCAGGTTCATGGCCTCCCCCTCTGCCCCTCCCCCTTCACATGCTGCTACTCCCTGCCTTCCTGTTTTCACAGCAGACCTGAGTCTTCCCGTTACTTCCAAACCAGTTTAAATGTTACATCTTACAATGTGATTAAAATGTGGACTTCACTGCCGGAGGATGTAGCGGATGGCCACAGGAATAAACAGCTTGGAACTGGGATTAGATAGATTCATGGATGGCTACTAGCCACGGTGACTGAAGGGCAGGGTGAGGTGAACGATGCTCCCGCTCAGAGCTTGGTGGGCCCTTGTGCTACGCGCAGAGGACCAGCATAGTGCCATGAATATGGTGTTGTGTTGGGGGGGCAACCTTTTTGAGCCTGCAGGCAGCCAGGAGGCAACATCAGAGGAAGACCTTGGCCTCTAGGTCCTGTTGTTGGCTATCCAGAGGAACTGGTTGGCCACTGTGTGAGATAGGAATCGGATGCTGGACTAGATGGACCACTGGTCTGATCAAGCAGGGTTCTTCTGATGTTCTTATGAAGGCCTTGGCCTTTATGCCCCATTGTTGGCCCTCCAGAGGAACTGGTTCGGCCACTGTGTGAGACAGGATGCTGGACTTGATGGACCACTGGTCAGATCCAGCAGGGCTGTTCTGATATTCTTATGACGGCCTTGGCCTCTATGCCCTGTGGTTGGCCCTCCAGAGGAACTGGCTGGCCATTGTGTGAGATGGGATGCTGGCCTAGATGGACTATTGGTCTGATCAAGCAGGGCTCTTCTTATGTTCTTTGGAATACACTACTGTTAGCGACATAGGGGAGGGAAACAGAGCGTGCCTAACTTCCTCCTCCCCACACCTAGAACCAACAGCAAATTGTGCCACACACGCCCAGTTACATCAGCACCTGTTTGTGAAGCCCCGTACCTGCCCTTGGCTTCTTCCATCGGCCTCAGGCCCAGGCTGGCCTGCTGGCAGTGAAAGTGGCCCATTTCCTTCAGGTCCGGGAGGGTCTTGTTCCTCGTTGGGGCTATCATGACGCCCTGGTGGGCCAGGAGGGTGAGCAGGTTTTGGGAGCTGGGAGTTTTGTGGAACTCGAAAGGAGACAGCGCCTTCGGGAAAAGCAAAACCAAACGAAAAAGCAGAGGTGGGGGGAGAAGAGGAGAGGGGGTGTTTTGTTAGAAACAGTAGCAGAGAGCAATTGGGTTCACCATTCAAGCTTGGAGTGAACACGAATACGCAAAGCTGCCTTGTACTGAATCAGACCACTGGTCCATCAAGGTCAGTATTGTCTACTCAGATAGCTGTGGCTCTCTAGGGTCTTGGGCTGTGGTCTTTCACATCACCTACTGCTTGGTCCTTTTAACTGGAGCTACCTGGCAGCTACCTGGATCTTTTAACTGGGGATGCCGGAGACTGCACGCGGGACCTTTGGCATGCAAAGCAGAGGCTCTTCCACTGAGCCACAGCCCCTCCCACAACAAATCCAGGAAAGCTAGATTGAATGACTCTAGTAGGATGAAAACTCCAGGAAATTCCTGGAGGTTTGGGGGTGGAGGGTGAGAGTTGGGGGCGGAGGGCTTGAGTGGGGTATAATACAATAGAGTCCACCCTCTAAACCAGCCATTTTCTCCAGGGGAACTGATCTCTGTAAGGTGGAGCTTACAAACTCCTTTCCCTTCCCCTCCCCACAACAGACACCCTGTGAGGTGGGTGGGGCTGAGAGAACTCTGACACAAACTGCTCTTTTTCAAGGACAGCTGTGCCAGAGCTTGTGACTGACCCAAGGTCACATCAGCAGGTGCAAGTGGAGGAGTGGGGAATCAAACCCGGTTCTCCCAGATTAGAGTCCGCACACTTAACCACTACACCAAACTGGCTCCAGCCATTTTCTCCAGGGGAACTGATCTCTGTAATGTGGAGATCAGGTGCAATTCCGGGAGATCTCCAGACTCCACCTAGAGGCTGGCAACCCTACCTTTCGTATCACTGCCTGCCTGGTCCTTTTGCCTGGAGATGCCGGGGACTGAACCGGGAACCTTCTGCATGCAAAGCAGAGGCTCACCCCCTGAGCCACAACCCCTCCACTCATCTTAGCTTTATAGTGGAATGATGTGACTGAAGTTGTCAGTCAGCAGAAGGTTCTGGACGGACAAAAGGAACTGCTACTTTACACAGAGAGGAAAATGTGGAACTTGCTGCCAGAGGATGTAGTGATGGCCACAGAAGTAAACAGGTTGAAAACGGGGAAATGCCTCAGTGCCCTGTTGTTGGCCCTCCAGAGCAACTGGTTGGCTACTGTGTGAGACAGGGTGCTGGACTAGATGGACCACTGGCCTTATCCAGCAGGGCTCTTCATGTGTTCTCATGAAGGCCTCGGCCTCTCTGCCCTGTTGTTGGCCCTCCAGAGGAACTGGTTGGCCACTGTGTGAGACAGGGTGCTGGACTAGATGGACCACTGGCCTTATCCAGCAGGGCTCTTCATGTGTTCTCATGAAGGCCTCGGCCTCTCTGCCCTGTTGTTGGGCCTCCAGAGGAACTGGTTGGCCACTGTGTGAGACAGGGTGCTGGGCTAGATGGACCACTGGTCTGATCCAGCAGGGCTCTTCATAGGTTCTTATATTCCTGCTTCCTCTACCACCACTCTATTCTCAGTGGCTGGGGACCCCACAGCTCTAACCAAAGCCCCTCTTCCCCCCACCCCAAACAACCAAAGCCCCGTATTCAGAGTTCTAAGAGCACAAATCAGATCCCTCATCCCTCGCAGGGAAGGGTCAGGCACGGAGGCACCTGGGTGGAAGAAGAACAGATGGCCATGGGTCCCTCACACATGGGCAACAAGGCACGGGGGGCGGGGAGGGCTACGGTTACGAAACGGTTCACAAACGTACTCGGATAAATGATTGAGACTGTGGTCAACTCTGCTGCATGTAGCTTATTGTAAGTAGGATCCCGTTATGTTATTTCCCCCCCTGCTTAATGTGTCATGTTGATACTAATGCTATGTTTCTGTTTCTTTCTGGTGGTTTCAGACGTCTAATAAACTCATGTGTTCGTTGCTGAATGTCCTGTTTTTTGGATAGAATTGACTCGCGATCCGTAATCGGCCTGGAATTCATTCTGGTTGGTTCTAGATTCCTACAGTCCTAATGCATTGGGACCAAGTTTGAGTCCAGTGGTACCTTTAGGACCACTGGACTCATAGAATCATAGAGTTGGAAGGGGCCAGACAGGCCATCTAGTCCAACCCCCCGCTCATTGCAGGGTCAGCCTAGAGCAGTGTGGCGAACCTTTTAGAGACCGAGTGCCCAAACTGCGACCGAAAACCCACTTATTTATCGCAAAGTGCCAACACAGTGATTTAACCTGAATACTGAGGTTTTACTTTAGAAAAAACAACTCATACATTAACTTAAGATGATCCAAACAAAGTAAGGAAAGCAATCCCAAATGCTTTCATTTACTTAAAATTATTTGGCAGAGAATTCGACACTTTAATGGTGGTCTGGGCCTGGCTGGTAGTCCTTCAGATACTTCAACAGAGCAACCCTCAACCTCCTCTTCTCCAGACTGAATACAGAGGGAAAGTATAAGAAAATCCCATCCGAGGAACGCATATGCCCCTGCTGTAATGTAGGCACTGAAAATCTAGAACATGCTATGTTCGACTGAGGCCTGTAATCATCTCCGGAAATCTCTTTCATTCCCCACGTTCTTATGTCTGACCAGTAGGCAAAGAGCCCATATTATGAAAAACCTCTGCTCAGATAGGCACTCGGAGGTAAGATTTGGATGGAGCATTTTAAGAATTAGAAAATCTATAATAAGACAGCAAGCTAAATGTTAATCGTTTTATTGTTAAACGTCTACCTCCTAAGGAAATTATTATGTATCTTATAATGCATTCTACTGTTCTGTTAAGCCTTTTTACCTTTATTCATAGGTGTTTTTTACTACTAAGTTTGTAGTGTTTCAAATGTTAACTGCCGGCTTTGGCCGTAAATAAAACTTTATCCTTATCCCAAGTCCCTCAGCCTTTCCTCGTAGGGCTTGGTCTCCAGGCCCCCGATCATCTTCGTTGCTCTCCTCTGCACCCGCTCCGTTCTGTCCACATCCTTTTTGAAGTGAGGCCTCTAGAACTGCACACAATACTCCAGGTACCAATACTTTGAAACTGCTGGTAGGCAGGTATTTTTCCAGAAATCCTGAATTGTGAGGGGGTCCAATGTATCCGAATCTGAAAGATCCCGATTTTTTATTTCTGCACACCCCTCCTCTGACAGTCCCAACGCAATGTTTATTGAATGTCCCGACTCACTCTGTGTAACTCACTCGAGTGACCAAACAACATAAATAAAATGAGTAAATAAGCCCAGCTGTGACATACCAGGCACAGGGACCCGGCTTCTCATCTCTGCTCCAAGCGGGAAAGGGATAATGGTCTGGTCAGGCTGCTCGGGGATTGTTCCAACTTTAAAACAAAGACAAAACCCCAAACTCATTAGGTTCCCTTACAGTTCTGTTTTCATAACGGTATTCTTGTACGAACCTGCGTGCCAATAACCCTCCAGCCCATGAAATATTCTTACTGTGACATCCAGAGTCGGGTGGTGAAAACCGCCTGCTGCCCGTCCCTGGGCTTTTTGTGCAGCAGGACTCATGGAAGGGATTTGCCATGGAGGTCAGGAATGGTTCCACCCCTTCTGGTTTCAGAAGAGCTTGAAATGCAGTGCTTTTTCTTTGCCTGCTGCCATGTCGATTAATGGAAACTCCGCCCACCCCGTGTGGGATGGACCAATGGTTTGCTGGAGACGGCACAAGGCTCTAGCCAACCAGCACTGTCAGAAGAACATAAGAAGAGCCCTGCTGGATTAGACAGGTGATCCCTCTAGTCCAGCATCCGGTCTCATACAGCGGCCACCCAGTTCCTCTGGAGGGCCACCAACAGGGCATAGAGGCCACGGCCTTCCCTTGATGTTGCCTCCTGACTCTGGGATTCAGAGGCTGTCTCCCTGTCCCCTCCCTGACCTCGACCGTAGAGAAAAAGAAGCACGTTTGGAGTGGGACACCGTGCGGGGGCTTCCCAATTTGTCCCACTGCTCTAAAATCGTTCCAATGGAGAGCAGCAATTGGGGCAGCATTTTATTTTAAAAAAAACGTGGATGGTTGAGCACTTCAGGTCAAAAGCTTACCTTGTGGGGATGGCGTGTAAGGCTTTGCACCACCAAAGGAGAACCTCCTGGAAGCCGGCGTGGCTCCGTGCTCTCCGGCCGAAAATGGAGGGGAAGGGCTGGCCTTGGTGAAACCGAGTGGACTCGTGCTACTTGATCTCCTGACCATACCAGACCTGATGGGAAAGAACAGTGCATGGTTCATCCCAGAAACGGTAGAAGAAGGGCGCAATAAAGCCTGAAAAGAAAGGAGCTTGTCCTCCAGAGTACAATGGTCACAATACACTGGAAAGGCAATGATGCACAGTGGTTACAGAGTCCGTTTTGGAGCTGGGGAGCCCCAGGGGAAACCGCTGCTCAGTCATGAAAGTTCAGTGGGCACCGGCAGAAGTAAGAAGAAGAAGAAGAAAATAGTAGTAGGAGAAGCCATTGAGTTGCAACTGACGCACGACAACCCCAATCCCAGGGGCATTTCAAGCAAGAGACAGGCAGAGGTGGTTTGCCACTGCCTTCCTCTGCGTAGCAACCTTGGTCTTAATAATAATAATAATAATAATAATAATAATAATAATAATAATAATAATATACTTTATTGTCATTGTACATAGTACAACGAAATCA